GCTAGGAAACAGGTGAGCCAAAGCTCAAGCCAAGTCTTTCCTATGCCCAAACCTGACCTCTTAATCACTACACCAAAGTTCCTCTTAAAAATATGTCTCGAGGGCGCCTGGGTGGCTCAGTTGGTTAAGCCACTGCCTTCGGCTCAGGTCATGATCCTGGAGTCCCTGGATCGAGTCCCGCATCGGGCTCCCTGCTCGTCAGGGAGTCTGCTTCTCCCTCTGACCCTCCCCCCTCTCATGTGCTCTCTCTCATTCTCTCTCTCTCAAATAAATAAAATCTTTAAAAAAAAAAAATATGTCTCAAGGGGCACTTGGGTGGCTCAGTTTGTTAAGTGTCTGACCCTTGATTTCGGCTCAGGTCATGATCTCAGGGTTGTGAGATCGAGTCCTGTGCTGGACTCCACACTCAGCAGGAGTCTGCTTGGGATTCTCTCCCTCTGCCCCTCCCCCCACTCGTGCCCCCCCAATAAATAAATAAACAATATCTTTTTTAAAAATATGCCTTGAGGGACGCCTGAGTGGCTCAGTCGGTTAAGCGTCTGCCTTCAGCTCAGGTCATGATCCCAGGGTCCTGGGATTGAGTCTCGCATCAGACTCCTTGCTCAATGGGGAGCCTGCTTCTCCCTCTGCCTGCTGCTCACCCTTCTTGTGCTCTCTCTCTCTCTGACAAATAAATAAAATCTTAAAAAAAAAAAAAAAAGAAATTAGTCCCTTAAAAAAAAAGTATGCCTTGAGGGGCACCTGGCTGGCTCAGTCCATGGAACATGCAACTCTTGATCTCAGGGTCCTGAGTTCAAGCCCCACACTGGGCTTAGAGCTTAAAAAAATTAAAAAAAAAAAAAAAACAGTGGAAAAAAATATGCCTGAAAAATTAGAAGATCACCATACCATAACCCTAATGAATTACAGATCTAGGCATTAAGCATCCATGCAGCTATCATCACAGAGACAACCAGACATTATATGGCTCCTGAATGAAGCACACATCCACCATCTATGAAGTTAATTTTGCGCCCCACCGCCCCCAAACCGAACCTGAATCAAACAAAGCTTTTAGATTAGGGTTACAGTTGCCAGATAAAATCCAGGAAACCCAATTAAAGTTGCATTTCAGATAAACAACAAATAATTTTCTTAGTATAAACATGTCCTATGCAATATTTAATATGTCCCATGCATTATATTTGGGACATACTTTTACTAAAAAGTATTCATTGTTCATCTGAAATTCAATTTTAACTGGGTATCCTGTATTTTTATTTGCTAAATCTGGCAATCCTACTTTATTGTTTTTTAAAGATTTTATTTACCTATTTGAGAGAGAGAGAGAGCACGAGCAGGGGGGAGAGGCAGAGGGAGAAGGAGAAGCAGACTCCCTGCTAAGCAGGGAGCCCAATGCAGGGCTCAATCCCAGGACCCCGGGAACATGACCCCAGCCGAAGGCAGACGCTCAACCGACTGAGCCACCCAGGCACCCTGGCAATCCTACTTTAGATCTAACTACCATTTATAAGAAACACAAAGGACTGAGAAATGTACTAATCTGAACACTCACTAGATGTTTGATTATATTAAGAAATTATTAACTTTTTAGTTGTCTAGCTGTATTGTGGGGTTTTTTTTTTTTTAAAGAAGCTCTTATCTTTTATAGATACACATTGAAATGTTTGTGGATGAAATTATATGATGTCCTGAAGGTCCTTCACAATAATTTGGAAGGGAGGGAAGTGGATGGGATATAAATGTAACAAGACTGGCTGTGAACTCATGATGTTGAAGCTTCCTTAAAAGTACATGTGATTTCATTATACTTTTCTATTTCTGTGTGTGTTTAAAATTTCCAATAAAAGTTTTTAAAAGAAACAATACCTAGCACAGTGACTGACATACTGTAAATACTTAATACGTATCTGTTGGCAGGCAATTTTTTTTTTTTTTAAGAAAGCTCTCAGATGGCCATCAAATGGAAAAACATTCTGGAAATGAGATTACAAGCATGAATATACCTGAAAACACAAATGAGATTCACTTAGGGACCAAACTATACTCAAATGGAAACAATAATGAATTTGCCCAGACAAGGGAATTTGTTTATTGAAGATGAACAGTTGTGAAAGTCTGGGCAGAAGAGGTACATACATTACAGGTACCTAATTTGGGTAAACACATAAGACGTCTTTAACCCTCCAAAAAGATGTTATGCGGAAAACAATCCACCTTAGGTTTTCTTCAATATTAACTATTCCAGTGAACTGCTGTGGAAAGCCATATTAATTTCCCAAAGGCCTTTGGACAGATTTTGAAAATTTGAGTGCTCACATGCAAGTAAATCGCCAGTTACTAGAAATTTATGACTTCTCATGCTGAATAATGCATGCACTTGACAGGAGGTCTTTATAAAAAATGCAGTATTGTCAATTTTAAATGCAGTGTTGCCTTAAGTGCTGGGTACATGAGGACAACCAAATTCCAAAGCAATCTCCTGCACAAGGGGCAGGCTACTGTGTTTAGTGAAGTGTTTAGTGTAGGTACGTGAAATAAGCTGTTTATTTTATGCTTAATATCCCACTATATGGATATGTTATAATTAATTCAACCATTTCTCTTATTGATGGATGTTTCCCACCTTTGCTATTATAGACAACAATGCATTTACCCTTCTACATTTAGCCTTACATTCTGGTGCTTTAATTTCTGGGAGAGATTATAAGAAGTGCGTTGGCTGGGCCAAGAGTATAAATATTCTTAATTTTAATAGATACTAATTGCATGTATTTTTAAATTAGGGCTACAATGTGGAATGGTGTTCTAAAAATGCAATCACCTAGGGATGCCTGGCTGGCATGATTGGTTAAGGATCTGATTCTTGGTTTCTGCTCAGGTTGTGATCTCAGGGTCCTGAGATCAAGCCCCGCGTTGGGTTTCATGCTCAGTGTCTGCTTGAAATTCTCTTCTCCCTCTGCCCCTCCCCGCCACATGCTGGCTCGTGCGCTCGCTCTCTCTCTCTCAAATAAATAAATCTTTGTTTAAAATAAATAGGTAATTGCATTTTTAAAATTATTTAACTACAAGTCAATCATCTTACTAACTTCACTACAAATGCTAAGTATATTTCAGCTCTGCTTTAAGTAGAGAACTGGGTTCTCCAACAACCTCCAATTAACAGTGCCTTGGTATTAGAAATTCCATGGTTTATTCTGTTTCAGAGCATCCTGTAGCTGTACTTCCAGTTTGGTCCTTCCTTATCAGGAAGTGGCATTTTAAATTGTCAAGTTGTCAGTCTCTGAATTCTGAGTGCCATTTCAATCTGTCCTTTCTTGGTCCTTTTTTGCAAGGAGAGACTGGTTCTCTGCACTCTTTAAAAAGGTGCCTAGGGGTGCCTAGATGGTTCAGTAGTTAAGCATCTGCTTTTGGCTCGGGTCATGATCCCGGGGTCCTGGGATCGAGCCCCCCGTCAAGCCCTGCATCGAGCCCCGCGTCGGGCTCCCTGCTCGGGAGAGCCTGCTTCTCCCTCTCCCTCTGCTGCTCCCCCTGCTTGTGCTCTCTGTCTCTCTGCCAAATAAATAAATAAAATCTTTTAAAAATAAAATAATAAAACAAAAAGGTATTTTTTTTTAAAGATTTATTTATTTTAGAGAGAGTGCAGTGAGGAAGGGCAGAGGGAGGAGAGAACCTCCAGCAGACTCCCCGAGGAGGAACTCGATCTCACGACCCTGAAATCATGACCTGAGCAGAAACCAAGAGTCCGATGCTTAACCAACTGAGCCACACCCAGGTGCCCCCCAAAAGGTATTTTTATTAGTAACTTTTCCTCTTTTACTTTTTGTCCCTCTAATCTTGAAGATCCCTTTATTGGCTACTCTTCAAATTCAAAAGTAACAAATGCTTGTTAGAACCAGTGAAACAATTCACTATGAGGATGTATAAAGACAAAGCTCATCACCTCCACCTCAACCTCCTGATATAATCAATATTAACAGCCTGCTGAGTCTTCCACAACTTTCCCTGCTCATACAAACAGATCACATATGTAAAATTTTGTTTACACCGAAATATAATCATACTATACATTGTTCTGCAACGTGTTTCACTCAACTATATATGTACATATATACATACATATATACTTATTATATATGTGACAATGACAATATCCAGTATTTAACAAAATATAGTGGAGATACTCCACAGTCTTAAGTTCCTTTCCAGTTCTAAAATTTTTGTATTCCTTCAGAGAACATACTACCATTATAATTATTTGTAACGAATTGTTCACTGTCTTTCTTCCCTGAGAGACTGAGAACTCCATGAAGGCAGGGGGCCAATTTTGCTCACCCCTCTAACTCCAGAATTTAGCATAGTACTGCCAGGATAGTAACTGGCTAAAATCTATTTGTTCATTGTTTCAGTGCTTCCCGAAACCTTCAGTCTACTTAAACTGGGTCACTGTCAATACTCAAACATTTATCTTTAATTCAGGCCCGAAGAAAGTCACCACCACTCAGTGTTATTTGGATGGAACCTAGTGACAGTACATTTTAAATATTTGGGGAAATTTGTATTTTTTAGCAAAAAAAAAAAAAAAAAACCTCGCTACTACAAAAAAAAAGAATTTTTAAAAGATCACGTGTTTAACAAAGAGTTCTGCACTTGTAATTAGGAAACCTGGATTCTAGTCCCACTTCCAACATTAATTACCGTGTGGCTTTTAAGAAGTTCCTTTCCTTTCTGGTCCTGGGGTCATCTGTAGCTCTAACCTTCATTAAATTCCAAAAGTATGTACTGTCTACTGCTTGCTGGCACAGGCTAGGTGCTAGTGATATAGGGATGAATAATAATAACAGCCAACATTTAATGAATGCTTACTCTGTGCTTGGTCTTTTACTAATGGAGTCCTATGCACTCTCATTTATCTCCTATGAGCACTACCGTGATATTTTCTGTACTTTACAAAGGAGGGAACTGAGGCATAACGAGGTGAAGTAACTTTCCCAGCATACCAAAGGACGCGGTGAAGACAGGATTGGATTCCAGTCAGTGGGGCTTCAGATGCCATTCCAACAACCATAGAAAATCCTTGCCCTCATAATTCGAGGACTGTTTCAGTGGCTTGCATTTTGGTCCCAGCCCAGGAATACTGGGTGGCGCACCCTCCTCATCGATATGAGGATGCAACGATGCAGTAGCACGTTAGAGAAACTACTGGGAAACGTGACACAAGCGCGGCAAGCAGTAATGCTCTACCTCGCTCTCGCGGTTTCCACGCCGAGAAGGTGAAGAGGTGGGAGGTGTCAGCGAGTCGTACGCACGCATGCCTCCCATTGGGTACAGGAAAGCGCGCGGGTCACGCCAGCAAGACGCGCTTCTCTGAACTCAGCAGGAGGCGGGGAATAAGGGAGCGCGGCGTGCGTGCGGGCCCTTCCGACGTCAGCACGGGCCGACGGCTCCTCCCCGCTGCCCGCGCGGTCGCGGCGTTCACTTCCTGGCCCTCCCCGCCTTTAGTGAAACCAACGAGAGGACACCCCCTGCATCTAGAGCAGCCCGACCAGGAGCGTAACCGGGTGGCGCGCGAACGTGAGAGGAAAGCCGTGCGCGGCTGCGCTTTCCCGCCTCTGAGCCGTTCTAGATGCGGGTGAGTGCTGGGGCGTCGGCCCGCACCCTGAGCCGACCCGGGAGCGGACCGACCCCGCCCCTCTCCTGGGGGAAGGCCTGGGCTTTGGCCCAGTCCCAGCAGGCTTCACGCGGGGTACCCGGGCAGGTGCAGTGGGAGCGGTAGTTAGTGGGGGAGAGTGAGAGTCGCCTGCGTAGAGGCGCTGCCTTGGCCCCTCAGTGGGGTTTTGAGGTGACCACGTCCTCCCTCTCATTTTTGTTCTCCATTTCGTTCTCCTCTTCCATACTCCACCTAACTACCTTCACCTTCTAAAAAGATGCCATCGCAGAAACCACTGCGATGGTAGTTTTTGCCTCATTTGTGCCCATGTGCAGTTTTAAGTTTCCCTCTCCTCTGCACCAAATATCCTATCATGTACAACTCCAGTGTTACAATTTTTTGCCCCCCCCCCCCTCCAATGGAAAAAGAGTAATTTACGCATATGATCCATGAGTAGTATCCCCATCAGGAAGAATTCTGACATGCTATTCTCAAGCTAGGAGACACGTGTGAATTATCATATGTGGGCCAGAAATAATCAAAGTCCTATATAAATTACTTTTAGAGTGCATCTAGTAATTCCGATATTAAACAGAGCTTGTTTCCTATTAGTTCTCTTTTCCTTCTGTACCAAGTTCTGTGAGTGACACAGGAAAACCATCCTGCCTCTTTGCCCACTCCACCCACACTCAGCAATTATTCTGCCAAGCTATTCCACACCTTGGCCTTCTAATAGAAGTCAAAGTCCGTTTCCTCTAGAAGAAGACCAAGGGGTGGTTTCTTTATAGCAGGATGATAAGATGGGTGCAAAATGTCAATTATGATTAACAGATTCCACATTTTTTTTTCATTTGTAGGAAAACAAGGTTATTCGGTAACTCATCTATTAAATTTTCAACAATATGAGTAGAAGCACTCTTCAGATCATTATTCTGTAATAGAAAGAGCATTGCACTGATATCAGGAGCTCTGATTTCTGGTTCAGTTCTACCACTGACTGTGTGACTTTGGGTCAGTTACTTAACATCTGTGGACCCTCTCTTTCCCTATCTGTAAAATGAGAGAAATGATATTAGGTAGCTTCTAAGGTTTCTTTCAACTTCTAAGAGACAAAGGGAAAAATCTAAGTAGCTCAGTAGAACATTCCTTGTGGAGATACAGAGGAGATTGGGAAATCTCAACAGTTGTACTTAAGGTTGGCTTTTCTTTTAATTTCTAATTGAAATCAAAGTGTAGACTTTTCCCTTTTTACTTCCCCAAAGAATAAGAAAATGCCTTTGGAGGAAATAAAAATGTTCATTAATGGTTCCCCAGATATGCCTATATTGAGTCAGTTCTCATCCAGATAATTTAACTATTTTCATTATGGGCTTTTATTAACATTAGTTGGTTGGGATACTGTATTGGAAACCATTTAGTCTTAGGAATGAAAGAGTAATATTAACATGTACGGTATCAATCTCAAGAAATTTGCTGTGATGTACTCAAACACCTAAAGACAGCAGCCATCAGTTAAATAAAGCACTAGGTTGAGAACAGAAATGCCAGCACAGATACCATTGGTGATTTGCTAATTGTAGGTGGTTTTATCTGTTCAATTTAAGGTTTTGATGTAAAGTCCATTTACATCTATGGAAGTATTTAAATAATATAAATGCAAGCTTTGAAATGAAATTCCTTGAGAGAATGATGGACTGACAACCTCTGTAACATTGGTTTCTGGGGTTAATGTTTTGATTTATTATTTAGTTAATTAATAGATGAAGTGCAAAATGGCCTCCCAGAAAGTTCTAGTGCATAGAGGTGTTGTAAAGTTCCAGTTTATACAGAACAGTGATCAGATACCATTGGAAGCTAAAGATCCTTAGACCTCTTGGTATTGGTACTCTATGCAACTAACTTGATTTCAAACTTGGGAACTTTATTTTAATGTTAAGAGCAAAATGTAAGTATATAAGGTATACCAAGTCAAATTGCTAGACTAATCCTTCTCTATTAAGTATCCTAAGGATCTTTTTCTTTTTTTATAGGAAAAATGCTTTCTGAAAGCAGTTCATTTTTGAAGGGTGTGATGCTCGGAAGCATTTTCTGTGCCTTGATCACTATGCTAGGACACGTTAGGATTGGTCATGGAAGTAGAATGCACCAGCATGAGCATCATCACCTGCAAGCGCCTAATAAAGAAGATATCTTGAAAATTTCAGAGGATGAACGTATGGAGCTCAGTAAGAGCTTTCGGGTATACTGTATCATCCTTGTAAAACCCAAAGATGTGAGTCTTTGGGCTGCAGTGAGGGAGACTTGGACCAAACACTGTGACAAAGCAGAGTTCTTCAGTTCTGAAAATGTTAAAGTGTTTGAGTCAATTAACATGGAAACAGATGACATGTGGCTAATGATGAGGAAAGCTTACAAATATGCCTTTGATAAATATAGAGACCAATACAACTGGTTCTTCCTTGCACGCCCCACTACGTTTGCTATTATTGAAAACTTAAAGTATTTTTTGTTAAAAAAGGATCCATCACAACCTTTCTATCTAGGCCACAGTATAAAATCTGGAGACCTTGAATATGTGAGTGTAGAAGGAGGCATCGTCTTAAGTATAGAATCAATGAAAAGACTTAACAGCCTCCTCGGTATCCCCGAAAAGTGTCCTGAACAGGGAGGGATGATTTGGAAGATATCTGAAGATAAGCAGCTAGCAGTCTGCCTGAAATATGCTGGAGTGTTTGCAGAAAATGCAGAAGATTCTGAAGGAAAAGATGTATTTAATACCAAATCCATTGGGCTTTTTATTAAAGAGGCAATGACTAATCACCCCAACCTTGTGGTTGAAGGATGCTGTTCAGATACGGCTGTTACTTTTAATGGACTGACTCCTAATCAGATGCATGTGATGATGTATGGGGTATACCGTCTTAGGGCATTTGGGCATATTTTCCACGATGCATTGGTTTTCTTACCTCCAAATGGTTCTGACAATGACTGAGAAGTGAAAGAAAAACATGTATACGATCACCGTCTAGGACAGGTATTGTCACTATTTGTAGTAACGACTACATATCCAACACAACAGTATGTTTCTTTTTCTTTTTTAGTTTGGTGGCACTGGTTTAGTTGCACATTAAAGTTTAGTGGTACATTTTTAAAGAGGGTGGGGTTTTTTCCCTTAAAACACGTGACAATTTCAAACATGTTGGAAAGAAATGTTTTAAGAATGATAATTTTGCAAATAAAAGATATATTTATAAATATTATATTTATGTGATAAATCCTAAATTATGAATCTGTGGCACATATTTTTGCTGATCGGTTAAAAAATTTAACATGTCTTTTTAGCTTTCTAAGATATGCAAATAAAATCTCTAGTTGTGAATTTGTGATTAAAGTAAAACTTTCAGTTATGTGTTTCCATTACTTGTAATGCTGGTATATGTTCTAAGCCTCTGCAAGTGCCCATGGATTTGCTTTCTCAAAATACACGACCAAGCAACAAAGGAAATTAGTTCCCAACTAATGTTAAAGTGAAAGTTGAATTCTGTCCCTGAGAGAAAAAGTGAAAATTACCTATAAAGGTTAATAATTCTCCCAGGAGCTAATTTAGTGGCATTCCTCAGCATACACAAGTTGTCTTAACTCTCTACTTCTCTGTGCAGACACTGAAATTGGAGTGGTCACTATGAAGAATTTATTATCAGTTGAGATTTCTTTACTTCTGCTAGGCAAATGAGTTCTGTGGAAGTCTCCTTTCAAGAACTTGTTTTGATAGTCTGGCAGTTTCACTTACCTGAGTGGAGTCTGGTCTTTGTTTACCTGTTCAAATTCTGAGATTTTCCCCATATTCATAGTTGCATCATATCCAGCGGTTTGGGATGTGGAGGCCTTAACCTCACCATTCACCTTGGATTACCATACCATTTGCCTAATTTCAGTGCCTGCCCAGAAGCTTTATCCAGGGGTGAGTACAGTAGCTCTTGTGCTTATAAATGTGTGAAATACTTGCTGCTGATTTGTCCTATAATTGGGCCTGCACATGCTCTATTAAGTCAGATCCATAACCCCCCCCCCCCCATAGGGTGTGAGACCATGACATTTTAAAGATCACTATTTCCTGTAACTGGCCTCATGCTGTTAATGGTCTCCCACAGCTTTTGCAAACCAAAAAGAGAATTTCCTCAAGAGGGCCTCAGGCTTCAAATTATTGGTCATCAGTGCATAAAGCGCTTTTTAAAAAGTTACCTGGTTTTCCTTAGTGGGGCTTTTGGTTAAAATGAAGCATTATTAATTTTAAAAAATAATAAAACCTTTTTATCAAGCACTCTAATACGTGGTCTCAGATGCAACTAATACAGATCAGGTCATGGTGAGTGTAAGTACAATGATAAACAGCATCTCCCTGAATGTGACACCCAATTTATAAGTGTCACCTTGCCCCAACAACAATATATTTTAAAGAACTATGCATTTAGGGCGCCTGGGTGGCTCAGTTGGTTAAGCGACTACCTTCGGCTCAGGTCATGATCCTGGAGTCCCGGGATCGAGTCCCGCATCGGGCTCCCTGCTTGGCAGGGAGTCTGCTTCTCCCTCTGACCCTCCTCCCTCTCATGCTCTCTGTCTCTCATTCTGTCTCTCTCTCAAATAAATAAAATCTTTAAAAAAAAAAAACAACTATGCATTTATCACAACCAATTACATTAGTGTATCGAGGTATAATTGTAATAAATATATCAGAGAATGCATTCCATTGTTTGATTTCCTGGTGGGTGCTAAGGTAGAAATTGTTTTTTAAACCAAATTGATGCTCTTCAGAGGTGCCTGGCTGGCTCACTTGGTAGAGCAAGTAACTCTTGATCTTGGAGTTGTGAGTTTGAGTCCCACATTGTGTGTAGAGATTAAATGTTTTTAAGGGGCAGCTGGGTGGCTCAGTCAGTTAAGCGTCTGCTTCAACCCTGAGGTCCTGGGATCTAGCCCTCTGTCAGGCTCCCCACTCAGCAGGGAGTCTGCTTGTTCCTCTCCCTCTTCTGTCCCTCCCCCACCCCCTGCTCATGCTCTCTCAAATAAATATTTTATTTATTTTTAAGATTTTATTATTTATTTGACAGAGAGAGACACAGCGAGAGAGGGAACATAAGCAGGGGAGTGGGAGAGGGAGAAGCAGGCTCCCTGCCGAGCCAGGAGCCCAGTGTCGGGCTCGATCCCAGGACCCTGGGATCATGACCCGAGCCGAAGGCAGATGCCCAACAACTGAGCCACCCAGGCGCCCCAATAAAATCTTTAAAAAAATTTTTAATGAACCAAATTGATGCTCTTGGTTGTATTTTTATACACAAGTATTCCCTTATAAAATGTTACTTGTCTTAATATGCTGTCTCTTTGAATTTATTTGTACCCAGTCTTGTAGATAAAATCTGATTCAGTAATACAGAAAATAGTACTATTGGGGTCCTGGTTACAGATTTGGTCACTGTGCATTCAGTAGCCAAAAACTGTAACCCTAACCTCACTCTGTTACTGGGGAAAGAATTGCAAAGAGTGGAGGTTAATGGAAATTAATCATGGTTGTGAATATATTTTACAAATGGCTAGTGACTACCACATTGGACAACACAGGTCTAACCAGTTCCAGAAGTGTGAGAGCCACTGGATGAGATGTGAAAGAAAATTTAGGGGTGCCTGGGTGGCTCAGTCAGTTAAGCGGCTGCCTTCGGCTCAGGTCATGATCCCAGGGTCCTGGGATTGAGCCCCACGTCAGGCTCCCTGCTCATGGGGAATCTGCTTCTCCCTCTCCCTCTGCCTTCCCTCCCACCCCAGCTTGTAGCTCTATCTTTCTCTCAAATAAATAAAAAAAATATATATTTTTTTAAAAAAGAAAATTTAAAATTTCTTCTAAAAGTTGTTTTTATTTTTCTGTATATCTTGAATGCAGTGGAAACTGCAACCTGACTTTTCACAGGCCCTAGGCCATCTCCTTGTGTGAATTTAATCACTAGATCTTCCTTCTCAAAATTAAAACATTGGGTTTGGAGGAAAATATAGATTAGACCCCTTGGCTTTTTTTTAATGTAGCTATAAGGTTGCTTGTGTATCCATTCTGATTTATAATGGCCAGATTTTTCTGTAATGCATTTAAACCCATCTACTGAGCTTTCTTAAAGCAGGGCACACCTGTATTAGGAAATTTACTGACAGTACAGAGTCTAGTGATGACGTACCACTAATTTCCCCTTCATTTGTTAAGAATATTGTGTTCCTTTTAGTGCCAGCTGACTTGGAATGATGAATTCAGTGAAGGTCTGAGTGGTTATGTGAAGAGCATTGTGTTTGGAGAAGTTGAGCGCTTTTTTGGCATACAAAGAAATTCAGAAATGTTTGCCAACCTCCCCACAAAGGAGTCCCCCAAAGTTTCATTAAAAAATAATCACTCAATAATTCTAGTATCATCAAGGATAAAATATTTAAAGAGCAATGGGAAAACTACTTGTTTGGAAAGTATGAAATGATGGTATATATCTGGGGTCTCTACCATAATTTTTTTAAAAGAAAGATAAATCCACTTCTGGGGTTCCTGGCTGGCTCAGTAGGAGGAGCGTGAGACTCTTGATCTCGGGGTCGTGAGTTTGAGCCCCACGTTGGGCGTGGAGATTACTTAAATTTTTTAAAAAGATAAATCCAAATTTATTTGTATGGCACCTGTATACTATAATATTCCTTGTATAAATTTTTTATCTATGAGCTCAACACTAGGCCTGGTATTTTGTGAAAGCAAAAGGAGCCCAAACTCATACAGTTCGTACAGGGAGTCAAAACAATCACTTCATGAAAGCTCTGCATGAGCAATAGAACAAGCTATAGTTTATTATTAGAATATGGTGGTCCTGGGCGCCTGGGTGGCTCAGTTGGTTAAGCGACTGCCTTCGGCTCAGGTCATGATCCTGAAGTTCCTGGATCGAGTCCCGCATTGGGCTCCCTGCTTGGCGGGGAGTCTGCTTCTCCCTCTGACCCTCCCCCTTCTCATGTGCTCTCTCTCTCTCTCACTCTCTCTCTCAATAAATAAAATCTTAAAAAAAAAAAAAAAAGAATATGGTGGTCCTTTTGCGTTAAAAAGTCCTCAATTTGATAAATGCTATATATTTTAACCCACATAATTCTCATTTCCTTGGTTGTTTTCACTGATTCCATGCAAGAACGGCCACATTTGATTAGGCTATTGCTTTGGCAATTTGGCAAAAGCCTTAACAGGAAGAGCAGGACCTAAAAATAAGACTCAAGATTTTCACTGGATGCATGGATGGATGGGAGTGATGGAATAAGGATGTCCTGAATGGGATGGGCTTGCATTTTTTTTAAAAAATGGAATGCTTTGGGCGCCTGGGTGGCTCAGTTGGTTAAGCGACTGCCTTCGGCTCGGGTCATGATCCTGGAGTCCCGGGATCGAGTCCCGCATCGGGCTCCCTGCTCGGCGGGGGGTCTGCTTCTCCCTCTGCCCTCTTCCCTCTCGTGCTCTCTGTCTCTCATTCTCTCTCAAATAAATAAATAAAATCTTTTAAAAAAAAAAAAAAGAAAAAGAAAAATGGAATGCTTTGATCTGTGAGTGACTAGGAGACATCCACATAGGCACTCAAAGTGTTGAATAAACAGGGATGTTCTAATAGTCAAAACACCCAGCCCCATATGATGTGACGGGAAAAGGGAAAGGCTGGTCCTAGCTTGATGGAAGAGTGAGTACTGGCGTTGGGAATCTCCTTTTCCATATTTACATCTCTAAGGCACTCACCACTAGAGGGAAGCTTCAGGGACTACTGCCCAGTCTCCACTCCAGTGCCATCCAACAGAAATAGGTGAACCGCATGTGTTGTTTTAAATTTTCTAGTAGCCATATTAAAAAGGTAAAGACACAGGTGTAATTACTTTTAGTATTTTATTTTACCCAGTATATCCAAAGTATTGTCAGTTCAACATGTAATCAGCAGAAAAAAAAAATAATGTGATAGTTTACATTACTTTTTCATTTAAGTCTTTGAAATCCAGTATGTATTTTAGAGTTACAGCACAGGTCTAACCAACTTCAGAAATGTTAAGACCCCCACCCCCCACCCCAAGGCTAATATGTGAAATGGGAGAAAACTTTAAGTTCCTTCTAAAAGTCCTATTTGTTATTCTGGTTGTCTTGAATGCTATGGAAATTGCAAC